ACAAGGGCGGGGGGAAGGCACAAGTTAATGATGGCTTACAAATGATGCCATATTTAAACACTTAGTTGTTAGTTTCCTTTTAATAGAAATTTTCTCCATTCTTTTAAATATCAGGTTATTAAGTATCTCCTATATAAATATGGAACATTGTAAGTTTCAGTTTACATAAATAGTCAGCTGTCAAAATCTTGTTTTGTGACTTATTTCCTGGTTTGGTTAAATAATTAGCTGATGAAAAGAGCCAAATCATGATTATGTTGCTTCTCTTTATCCATGTATATGGCTTAATGTTCATTCTCCCCAGTGCAAGCCTTCTTAAGTCTTTTCTTGATTACTTTCTGCTTTAATGGCCCCTCAGTGGCTTACTGCTTTGTTAGATGGACCCCTTCTGTGAGCTTGCAACTTTTCCAGTCTTTCCTATGGATTCTGCTATTTTCCTCTGGCAACCTTTGGTTTGTTCCATTAATTATCTTTACCTCTTAATTTATCCTTTCTTTAATCTTTTTAAGAAAATCTCTTTATTTACACTTTTAAAATTTAGAAGACAACAGAAATTAATAGTGAAAGAATGGAGCTTATATTTTTGCAAGTCTTGCTCAGTACTGCACTGTGTATTAAGTAAAATGAGAAACTAAAATAAAATCAAAGTTAGCTTAATATGAAATCCAGATCTGAAAAATATACTACTACAGGTACTTCATGGCTGATCAGCCATATACATAAAATAGTGATAGTAACATGGTTTTCAACACGCCATACTGGCAACGTCTTTAGGACAGGAGTGCGCACACAAAAGCATACAGTCTTAGTTCTATGATATATCTTCATGTCCTGCATGAGTTTTCTTGTCATGTATCTTTATTAACAATGAGGGTTTTTAGAAAAGAGATCCCTTTTCTGTCCAGGTTAACTTTTATATTTTGGGATTTTCTATAGTTCCTGCACATGCATACCTGGTGTGAATCTTCACTGAAGTCATTGGGGCTCGCTGGCATGCAGTTGTAGGGTTAGGGTATAAATGTTTCCTACAGAATGAGGATTTTTAAAGAGGGTAAGTTAGGAGAGAGAAGATTTCATCTAGGACAACAGGGAAGTCCAGTATAATTTGGGATTTTTTGGGAAGAGGGTTAAGAGATTGGGTTTTGTGGAGGGAGTTGAAGAAAATCAAGTGAAGTACAGAGAGTCGGTTTGCAATTATTGGAAGGTAATAAGGGGGAGAGATTTATTATACCCAGTGTTGAGGGGAAAGGAAGTCGGGGATTCAAAATGTATATTGAATTGTTAGAAAAGGGTGGCGAGATTAGGTTTGGGAATTAATCATTTGATAAATCCAATGAAAAATTAATTAAGATTCAGGGATACAGAGAGTACAGAGAGTTTCCCCCTTTTGTCATAGTGATCTTTAGAACTGGGAATTAGAGCAATTGGAGACAGGAGAGGGCGGTATGAATCATGGTTAAAAGAAAGGAGTGTTAAAAATATTGGAAGGAGCAGTGTTACAGATATGCATTTGACTGAAGGCAGATGTGGTGAATTCCTGGATAGTATGTAATGGATGCCAAGATCAGAGATTTAGAAGGGAGATGTATTTGCTGGAGCTTTCATCAAAGGATACTTTTATCTGTTAGCAGACTATCAATATCTAATTGGATTGAAGGAAGTAAGATGAAGACAGGAGTTGAACCTGAAGAAAAAAGCCATATAGAAGACTCTTAGTGAAGGAGATATATTAGTTAGATCTGTATCCAAGTGATATCCAAACAAAACATGGAAATTAGTTGGCTAAGGGGCATTAACTTTATGGGAATATGAAGTTAATGACTGCATGTTTCAGTCTCTCCATTTTACAAATTGAGGTAATTCTTAACTATTCATAGAGGTGTTTTGAGTTCAGTTTATTAAAGTCTGTAAAGCATATTGAGATCTCTATATGAAAAACGGTACAGAAATGCAAAATATTATTGTTATTGTTCAAGTATAGATTATTTTTAATCTATAGCTCCAGAATCATTACTGTGTATCTCCTTTTCTGCTATAAATTTAAAGGATCATAATACAAAGGAGAGCTAATACTTGTTTTATCTTTTTTTAAATATTTTTAATAAGCTAGCTGATGATGTTTCTCTCTTAAATAATAGTCATGAATGCAGAGCTTCAACAGAAATTGGTGGAGACCGAGAAAGTGTTGCTTGTTTCTCAGCAGAATTGGAAGGAACAACAGCAAAGACTTACAAGTGACTTAGAGGAGAGAGAGAACATCCTCAAGACCTGTAATAGTGAATATGAATTACTCCTGAAGGAAAGGACTAAACTGGAAAACATTATACAGGTATAATGTTAAATAGAAGTAATGAATGGAGTGACATAATGATGTCTGGACTTCTATTTGTGTGTGAATAATTTTGCTCTGAACATAAGAAAAATGTTGGTATTCTGTAGAAAGTGAAATACTTCTGCATAGACTTACAAATGTACAATCCTTATTCCTTTTGAGAGTTATGCTGTAGCAATGTACAACTTCTGACTCTCTGCTACTTATATAAAAAGTCTCCAAAGTTGCTTATTAAAATAACAAACCAAATTCTGCATGCAGTTTCTCTGAAATGGGGAGAGACTACACTTATGGTTACAATGGAAACCCTGGTGTAGATCGGGCTCCAGTAATTGTTAGTCTTCTAAACACTCAGAGCAAGATGTCAGTGTTAAGACACTGTTGACTTTCAGTGTTTTGTCTGTATTAACATTCCTACAGGTGGTGCTGACCTGATGATGTCAAAATGTCCTGCCATTTGGCAAAAATGCCTGTTACATCAAGATAGATTGTCAGGCTTCTTATATTGCAGTTGCTTGCTGCTCTTCAAATAAGTATTTGCATTAATTTGTATTTCAACATAACAAAAATTACATGGAGTTAAGATTTAAGAGTATGTACCAGCAATTTAAGAGTGAAATAATTTAACAATAATGTAATTATTCCATATTCAAGCCATACAAATTTAGGAACCTAAAAGGTGAGATTATGCTTAACAGTTTAAGGTATGAAAATACACAGGTAAGGCACCTGACTAACTTTGTTGTGCGCCGTTGTGATATCTTGCAATTGCTGTGCAACAAAGTACATCTACATTTGAACTAGAGTAGTACGTCCCAGCTTGTGTAAATATACTGGCACTAGGTCTTCTCAAGCTTGTGTACTAAAAATAGCAGTGTAGCTGGAATAACTCAGGCAGCAGCTCAGCTAAATCACACCTCCAGCTCAAATATAAACATGCCTGATGATTAAGGAATTTTAGTGTCTGTGGTCCCAAATTAGATAACATTGATTTATAGACCTATTCAATCGTTTTCCTTCAAATGTTATTATATTTGAATACATAAGTTTTCTTTATGTTTTTAAGAAATGGGTTCTTGTGAAAAAATGAGTGTCAACAAACATGGCAGACATGTCTATGCCTGTGGTGTCCAATAAGTTAGCCACTAGTTACATGTGGCTATTTGGCTGGTTGAGTGTGGCTAGTTTACTAGAGCAATAGCCACTATTGTGACTACTGCTTCATTGCTGCTTGGACATCACAGGTGTAGACATATAGAAAAAGAGCAGATCACTGCTTTAAAAATCCATCTTCATGTTTTCGACAAGGGGATGATTCTTGAATATTCCCCTTTTTCTCTTCTTATTTCTCTGGTTTTAATTCTTTGTATTGAACTGAGAACCATTGGACATGGCTTCTTGCACTCCAATTAGCTCTATTCCTGAGCTAGCTATAGGAGGCTCTGACATGAAGCATTCTTGGTCCTGGATGGCAGAGAACAGGAGTCTGTAACCTATGGTTCTAGAGCCAAATATGGCTCAATACACAACCAAATATGGCTCTTTTGCCATTGCCAAAATACACACAACTTTTTAAATTAAAATGAAAAGATAACTCAAAATTTTAAAAATGCATAATTACACATGTCAAGATGGTTTTTTGTCTTTTTCACCTTTAACTGTTCATATTAACAACTATCCATCCTCTCCACTCATTGGGGCTCATGCATATTCTCTTTTTTTTTTGATTGATCGAGATATCTTTCCATCATCATACCTGAAGGGAAACTCTGTAGGCCCCAATAGCAAAAATGGTAAAGAGAAAGAGAGATGATGAGTACTGATATTTTCAAAATGAGCAGACAGACTTGTGTGCATTTATGGATAGGTCTGGATCTCCACACTGTCTCATTTGTAGTGCAAGACTGCCCTCAAACAAAAAAAAATCAAATTTAGAATGTAATTTCAGGACAAAACATGCAGCATTTGCTACAAAATATCCCAAGGGTGGCATGTGAAACAAAACCCTGCAAGGAGTTGCAGTAAAAAATGAACATTGGGCAAAATAGCTTGCTGGCACGCGTTAAACTCTGCAAGTTTTGCAGGATCATACAGCATTATTCGAGAGGGGAATCCCCACTGATGGGGATTACATGAAGAGATGTCTGCTAAAAACTGATCATGAACTATTTGATATGTTTCACAGCAAGGACAAAATCTTATAGAAAATACAAGACATGCCATTATCAGCAAAAACAGTTCATGACAGAACTGTGAAAATGGCCCATCAAATCGACAAGGAACAAATGCAAAATTTGTAAAGTTACTTATATTTGTTCGCTTTGGACGAGACATCCAACATGTGACATTAATCAGTTGTGTATATTGGGACGATATATTTGTGGAAATGCTGTGCATGAAGAAATGACTGAGATATTACCAATGAAATCAAACAAAGGGCAAAGACATTCTTAAAACTGTAATGAACTTTGTAAACAAGAAAAAGATAGTTAGATAATCTGGTGTCTGTGCGTACAGTGCACCTAGCGTGGTCAGGAAATACAGGGTATTCTTTACTCTTGTCAGAACAGCTGAACTGGCTGCTTTTGAACTTTCATTGCATTGTGCATCAGGAGGAGCTTCTTGTGCAATCTTGTGGATCTGAACTCATGAAAGTAACAGGACTGGTTGTTCGCACTGGCAATTGGATTCTTGCTCAAGCCCTTAATCTCCATCAATTTCAGTCACTGCTATGAGAAAGTAGATTCCAAATACCCCAATCTAATAACTTGTGAGCATTGCTATGCATTATCTCATGGCAAAACTTTGTCTCATTTTGCTGCCTGCATTAATGAGATTGACACCCTTGATACCCAAAAATGACAAATACCCCAAGCTTTCAGACTGTGCGACTGGCTGCTCAAGTTTTACTATCCCATATTCATTACTGGTCATTTGAATGAGTTGATGCTTAAGCTATAAGGGTAAGGAAATACAGTCCTGACTCCGCAGCAGGCAGTGTTTAGATTTGAGTCAAAATTGACTGACTTCATCAAACATATCAAGATGGTCTGACTGGCGCTTTTTGAAAGATTGCAAATGTTTTGTGACTTGTATCAGAGAATCCAAGTAATGGTCTCAATTTGCAGTAGCTTGCCAGGTTTGTTTCTGAGCTCCTGAAGGCATCCAAGTCTCATTTTCTTGTCTTTTGCAAACACAGTGCTCTGTTTAATTGTATGATTCCTCCACCTAAAGCATCCATTGAAGAACTGGATTTGACAGTCATTCCAGGCATCTCAGTCAGTGATTTGGAAGTGGAAATAGCAGATTTCAAGGTGCTGGATATCTGAGTGGAAAAATTCATAAAGCTGAATTCTGATTTAGAATATCTTGCTCAAGAATGTGCAGAATTGGCACAGCTGCACAAATGGGCCGACGTGAAGAAATTGGAGCATGATGATCAGATTCTGCAAGAAAGAACTTCCTGTCACATACAGCACCGTGCAGAATGTCATCTTGGCCTTACTTTCTATGTTTGGGTCCACCTGTATGTGTGAGCAGGCTTTCTCTCATTTGAATCACATCAAAAGCAATTTGCGCTCAAGACTGACAGAAGACCACCTGAATGTGTGTTTAAAGCTGAATTTGACCAGTTATGATGTAAACTTCAAAGAAATGTGTGAAAACATGCAGCAGCAGAAATCTCATTAAATAAAGTCATTGAGTACAATGTTTCATTTATGTTATTATTAATCATGTCAATTATCAATAATATTAAGTTGTATATTTTCAGTCATGCAAATGGGTATTGTTATACAGGCAGTCCCCGAGTTACGCGGCTCCGACTTACGTCAGATCTGCACTTAAGAACGGGGCTTTCTCGCCCCGGAGCTCGCAGGCAGCGGGACCGCCCAGAGTGCAGCAGTCCCGCCACCTCGACCTCCGGGGCGAGAAAAGCTGCTCCGGGTGCCCCTGGTCTGCTGGGGACCGTCTCCAGCAGACCAGGGACACCTGGAGCAAAGCCGGGGAGGCGGAGGGGTCCCGCGCCTCTG